GTAGTAAGCTAGCACCAAGTCCGTTCCCCTTCCACCTTTATTCCTTTCTTCATAATGAGGCTTTCAAGTGAATCGTCGTACTGTAGCGAAGCTTCAGTGTTGAAAACTGATGTCTTGCTGTCCATGATGATGAAGCTTGCCAGATCTACATACAAAAACTCTTTCGCATGATCTCTGGAAAATTTTGTCCACAAGCCTCCAAGGTATGGAGCGCTTCGCCCCACATTCAATCCGATCTCTAGCAACACTATAAAATTACCCGGAGATCAGACACATTAGTCTTGGTTAAAGGTGTAATGCAGCTGCACGAACCTTGATGCGTCGATTGAAGAACGCTATCTGCCGGGGTGAGGAAGCTGTACTGTAAACTGAAAAGGTAGAGGGACGAGAAGCTTTAGGAATGTGTCAAAACCACTTTACCTGTTATCCCCAGCCGGCCTGGTGATCGAAACACTCGCTCACCAGGCCGGTCATTACCGTCTCCCTGGATGGGGATCCCGAGACAGGAGAAATCAATATTCTGAGATTTTCAGACGGCCCAGCGATACCCTCACTGGTGCTCATGCACCTAGACTGTTGCCTTCCCTGGTGACACTGGAACCTCTGACGGCTTCGAATACACACATAAGCGTTTTCTTTATCAAGCGTTACTGTGCTGCTCTTCCTAGCGAACTCCCACCTCTTTTCCAGATGGATGTGCGTGTCCAGCATATTAGCCTATATTTGAGTGAAGAAAACCGTTTCAGCCGATTTTGAGAAAGTGCTTTTATTGAGTGCGGTAGCCACTCACATTATCATTGGACCGTATGACTTATTTCCCATCGTTGTACGCAGGCATGTGAAGACGATACCCGAGGACAGCAAGTAGGATGTCGGCCTGGAAGAGACCTTGTGAACCACATCTTAACACTCCGTCAGGTGGCAGAACAATGGCATGCCTATAGTTGTCCTGTCTGAACTTTAAGGGTGCGCTCGGTCCTGTTGAAAAGTTCATTCTCAGCACTTGCGCAACAGAGTGTGCCCCCAAAAGTCCGTTACCCTGGTGTTGTTTACGTCCTTGTGGACGCGTGAGTGTGAACAAAGATTTGGCTTGATCACGTTCCTCGTGTGCCAGTTGACCGACTTCGATGTGTTTTCGCACAATCACGCGAAGGGTGTAAACGAGGTAAGGTAGGTCAACTACCGAGTTGGCAACAATGTATGGAGGAAAGCGTATGCCAGTCGACCTCGAAGGGCTCTTTTCGCACAACCACGTGAAGGGTAGAAGAGAGCCAGAGGCGGTCAAACAATGGCTTGGAAGCGAACAGCCGGCCTGGTGATCGAAACACTCGCTCACCAGGCCGGTCATTACCGTCTCCCTGGATGGGGATCCCGAGACAGGAGAAATCAATATTCTGAGATTTTCAGACGGCCCAGCGGTACCCTCACTGGTGCTCATGCACCTAGACTGTTGCCTTCAATGCATAGCTCTCCTGATCTCTTCAATGAGAAGTCCACCGGTACTTCTGTATGTAAGCATCAATTGTGTCGGCTACCGCCTGCAATGTGTAGATATTTACCCCACCTCCCTAAATCACTGGTGAATGAAACTGGCAGCTGTAGCGACTATGGCACGTATGCGGTTTTTACAGTGGATGTTGGTGAGACGTGAGTGTATGGGGCTCTCTGAAGGGTTCCACATAAGAAATAAGTCCGATAAGGGTGTTTTGGTGGGGCGAGCTCCGTGGGATGTCCAAAACCCCGGTGTTTAGATCTCCGAACGAAAGTCTTGTCTACGTGGGAAATGCAAATTACATTATCACTTTTGAAAGGTTGAGGAACCGCAGGCGTTGCTAAAGTAGCTCGTCAAAGTCGTCCATCCATAAGTTGTAAAGTCATGTTGGTGAATTCACAGTCTTCCAACCGGGCTCTGGGAATTCAACCAGTGTCATTGGAATTAGTGGTACACAGTGTGGTCCGGCGGTACTGTGGCAGATGAAGTCAAAGCGCGAATATCAAAAGCCAGGACGAGATTACCAAGTTGCGCTACTCGTGGTACTAAAAAGGCTTATCGTTGGGTTTTATAGGTCGGTGTTCTAACCAGTGTACCCTCCTCGAGTTCATTGCTCCATTTATGCTTGATCAACACGGGGTGGTGGCTTTTGGTCGTCAGGTGGTGCAGGTGCCTCAGCGTATGACGTGTTAAGGTTGGACTCCTCATATTTTCGGATGCCATTAGGTATGGTTCGAGGGAAGCGAGACGCTCCATGTAAGTGAAGTCGCACAGTCATCGAGCGTGTTTGGTGACAGGCCGTTACTCTCCTAATGCTACCTTACATACGTTGTGATAATTGCTTTGAATAGCTTTGTCCTAAGAGACTGACGTTTAGCTTAGCAGTCCAGGGTGACTTTCTGAAAGTGAGGGGAGCTTCCTGGGTTCCACTGTACGCTGGTCTTTTCGTTGATTCTGGCGTCTGTTCATCCTAGGGCGTGTCTCGAAGTTTATGATCGTAGGTTTGATGACCGACGCTGCGACATTACAACTCAAGGGTAGGGCGTCTTCGATGGGTTAAAGGTAGGCTATATCGAGAGCTTATTACAAGGCTTTGTGGTCTCTAGGACGCGGGCATTGTATAACTCACTCAGACGGTTATTCTCCCATCGAATTCTGAATTGTAATCACTCAGTGTGGTACCTTTTCGGTGCCTAGCTGCTATGCCACCCGAAGGAAGCTGCAGTTTTAAGATACTGTCAAGTTGTCCAAGCCCAGAGGGCAGCAGTTGAGATGCTAAGATTGGGTTCGAACCACGGAATTTCGAGGCCTAACTACTGAGCCATCGCGAGTTCAAATGACCCATCCGGTGCTAAATAATTCTTACATCCAACAAGTCGCCGTTCAGCTAATTTGGGACTGTCCTGTGGGTAGTTCTCCCCAGGAACGTCATTCTGCACCCACCAAAGGCCTTCGAGAAGTTAGCACAGATGACCTCGGTCTCAGCCGGCCGTACTTTCACTGGCGATCGGGTCCGTCAGACATGACTTCTTGCGCCTGAAACCAACTACTTTGGTGATTGGATTCAATCCCTCAAAATATGCACGCTGCTGATTTACCACGTTAGTCTCCGTAACATCGGACCTCACGGGATTCGAGGTAGTAAGTATGTATATCAATGGTACTACGTTCTCTGTTATAGGCCGTTCCACCGCTCTGCTACTTCGGCCGAATCCATTAAACACTGATATTAGGCCCCTATAGGTCAAACGCCAAGAGTGATTGTAGGACACCGAAATCTTCCCACGTCGATCGCGGTATTTTTCGAGTTTCTTAAGCTAGGGTTCAATAGCAGTGAGAAATGTTATTTGGTCCAGGCGCCTTTGGCGGAAACAGTGCCGTCGATAGTTTCTGTTTCAGAGAGAGCTTTGAGGAATGTGGTGGAAGTGGATGTGTGCTGCCTCAAACTGATATTAGCTGTATCCTCTGCGCATGTAGGAATATTGCTTCTTTCGTGACGTACTTTTTGCTGGAGTTNTACGTTGTGATAATTGCTTTGAATAACTTTGTCCTAAGAGACTGACGTTTAGCTTAGCAGTCCAGGGTGACTTTCTGAAAGTGAGTTGAGCTTCCTGGGTTCCACTGTACGCTGGTCTTTTCGTTGATTCTGGCGTCTGTTCATCCTAGGGCGTGTCTCGAAGTTTATGATCGTAGGTTTGATGACCGAGGTTGCGACATTACAACTCAAGGGTAGGGCGTCTTCGATGGGTTAAAGGTGGGCTATATCGAGAGCTTATTACAAGGCTTTGTGGTCTCTAGGACGCGGGCATTGTATAACTCACTCAGACGGTTACTCTCCCATCGAATTCTGAATTGTAATCATTCAGTGTGGTACCTTTTCGGTGCCTAGCTGCTATGCCACCCGAAGGAAGCTGCAGTTTTAAGATACTGTCAAGTTGTCCAAGCCCAGAGGGCAGCAGTTGAGATGCTAAGATTGGGTTCGAACCACGGAATTTCGAGGCCTAACCACTGAGCCATCGCGAGTTCAAATGACCCATCCGGTGCTAAATAATTCTTACATCCAACAAGTCGCCGTTCAGCTAATTTGGGACTGTCCTGTGGGTAGTTCTCCCCAGGAACGTCATTCTGCACCCACCAAAGGCCTTCGAGAAGTTAGCACAGATGACCTCGGTCTCAGCCGGCCGTACTTTCACTGGCGATCGGGTCCGTCAGACATGACTTCTTGCGCCTGAAACCAACTACTTTGGTGATTGGATTCAGTCCCTCAAAATATGCACGCTGCTGATTTACCACGTTAGTCTCCGTAACATCGGACCTCACGGGATTCGAGGTAGTAAGTATGTATATCAATGGTACTACGTTCTCTGTTATAGGTCGTTCCACCGCTCTGCTACTTCGGCCGAATCCATTAAACGCTGATATTAGGCCCCTGTAGGTCAGACGCCAAGAGTGATTGTAGGACACCGAAATCTTCCCACGTCGATCGCGGTATTTTTCGAGTTTCTTAAGCTAGGGTTCAATAGCAGTGAGAAATGTTATTTGGTCCAGGCGCCTTTGGCGGAAACAGTGCCGTCGATAGTTTCTGTTTCAGAGAGAGCTTTGAGGAATGTGGTGGAAGTGGATGTGTGCTGCCTCAAACTGATATTAGCTCTATCCTCTGCGCTTGTAGGAATATTGCTTCTTTCGTGACGTACTTTTTGCTGGAGTTCTATCCGTGCAGGGCATAATCGCACCTGAAACTCGCCTTCTTATTTCCGTTCATAGGGGTTTTCGCGTTTTGTGTGGGCCACAGCTGTTTCCAAGGTTGTTAGATGCTGGACTTGCACAGTCTCATCCGTCAGAGAACCTGATCAATCGTTGAAGCGCGCCGTATCTTACAGAGCAGAGGCTAGTTTTTGTTCGGGCAATTGTTTGCTTTAGGTGGATATTACAAGTTTGTGTTGCGCAGCGTACGGACAACGTGATCACTGGTCTTCACTGGTGCCAAGTATTCGAGATTGATCGTAGGTTCACCGTTTGCTACAACAAGATCAAGGAGTAGGGAGATGTTGGAACTCCGAAATAGTTTTCGGTGTGCTAAAAGGAGTTGAATAAGATCGAAAAGTAAGGTCGGTCTTTTAACTCAAGGTTTCTGCCATTATACAGGACAACTTTGTGTTCTCTGGAAGATCCGTCCCTTCCAGTGGTAGTGCGGTCAGGTGGTCGCGGGTTGGAATTCCCCTCGAGCTTCGTAAGGTGCGCACTGCTGACGGTTCTCGATAAGGCTGAGGCGTATACACTCCTTGCTTAGCTCAACTGCGCATTGACTGCAGAGTGAAAATAGATAAGCTTGAGCGACATCAGGATAGATCTGTTGTGCAGTTTTTCAAATTCAGCGAGCACTGCGCTCATTCATTACCAATTATATTCGGTTTTAGAGCTTACGTTCGCTGTGATTCTCGGAGAATGATTAGCTGTCCGCGCAAACGGACATGCTGACCAGCCGCGTGGGGCATCTACCACAAAGTCTGGTAGACCGAAAGCGCTTCTAAGATGGGACCAGATTCTGGCTTCTGCAACCTAACGTTCATTGATGGAATTCAAGGAGAGGATCTTGTTTGAGCCTTTTTGCATCATGCTCCTTTTGTGCCTGACGGTTATCACCATTCGCAACACCATTTCTTCAGATGACCTAGTTTAGTTTCGATGTTTTTAGCCGTCTTCCATCACAGTCCGACCCGAATTCCAGGGCTGAATGACCGTCAAGGTTAATTTAGTCACTCCATTTCCTTATCTTTCGCCTGTTTCGCTCTTGTGAAATATCAGTAGTGTTTGTGGTTGTTGACCCATACCACCAGGAGGAATTTTTCGGATAGTGATGAGGTTCCGTTCGTAAGAGTGTGCGGTAGAATCAGAGCGTCTGGTCAGCAACCCCTGTGGTCTACGTGAGCAGAGCATATCCGGGTGAGGGAAGCTTTGGTGAATGGAAGTGTGTTGGTCACCCGTGAGTACCGAATAAGCATGTTCATATTTCGTAGGTTCGTTCTTAGATAGTACATTAAGGAAAAAGGTCCACCAAGGGTGCCTGATCTCTCCTACATTTCAACTGCGTAGCCGGCGAATCGGTGGGAAGAGCACCCGAATGCGTGGGAGTGGTGCGTCTCCTAGGGTGGCGGGCAAACCAATACGGAGTACGTGGATGACATTGTTCTCAGTTCTCCAGCTCACAATTGCAAGTGCTGGAGGCTTTAGAAAGGGGCAGGTTTCTAGTTTTCATCGAGCACATCAAAAGTACAAGATTAGCTAATAGGCTTAGTAGGGAATACTCTTGCGGTACCACAGCAAGTTAATCTGGGAAGTGGCTTGTTTTCGTTACGTCATCATCGTCATCGACAGCATGATATTGGGGTTCAACACTGATGGTCCGCCGCCGTACCTGAAGAGATTCAATGTAACACCTGGATTTTCTTACAACAATCCAGTTCCCTACTCTCTTCATGCTTTAGATGAAGTAGCGTTTATAGTGTGCAAGACGGCCTCGGCAATTCGTTAGGGTGTCAGGACGATGTACGGTTGTCGTGAAATCATCCCGCTACGATCTGAACACCTGGCTTCCGGACGAGGATGCATGTAAGCTGTCGGTTTTCGCGTTCTCCTGCTGGCATCTATCAAAGTG